TCCCCCCCACACACTTCCGGCCGCCGTGCGCGGTGCCGGGCGGCAGCTGCGCCGCGCTCTTTGGTTCCGGGGTCCGCCGGGCCCTTGAGCTTTAATTTTTTGGGGCCTAATTCAGACGCAAATAGGAAGCGCCAACGTTTTCTGCTGAAGGAAGTGAAGAGCTGACAATTGGTTTTCTTGATACCAGCCCTCTGCGCCGTGCACAAACGTAAGAGCCCGTTTCCTTCCCGAGATGCAATTTTAATGGGTTTTGCTAATGGAAAGCTAATCAGCACTGCGTGCTCGTGGCATCCCTGGCCAAAAATACAGCGGATCTGCTGGGAAAGCTTAAATCAGCACCTCTGTGCGAGCTGTACCGGCTCACATTCAGCCTTTCACAATTATCAATGATGCAAAGTCCACACGCTGTAATTATTGCAGTTGATTAAATGAATGAAAAAAGCCCCTTGTAAACACAGTGGCGTACGTGTACATCAAATATATAGAATTAACGCCCCACAGAGCCAAATGCAGGCATCAAATCAAAAGATATTTGGCTTCTTTAATTTGTTTTGTAGAGGGGAGAGTCTGCGATTTCAGCCAGCCGTAAGACAGGGAAAGCACTGGACCCGCCACATGCCTTGGCTGCCAGGGGATCTTGGTGCCAAATTAAGAAGTCCCAGGCCCTGCAGCACCCAGGTTGAGGCGGTTATTTTCTGTTTTCACTTAATCACCTGACTAAAGGAAGGGAGCTAAATGTACGCTCTTACCATCCTCTGGTAAGTTTTGCTATGTTGCAGGTAGCTCCCAAAGCTTTGTCTCTAAAGCTCGTTTCTGCTTGTTTAATAACATTCACGCTATCTTTGAAAGGGAAATTTCTGCTCAAAAGAGCTCATGGAGGCCTTCAGAGAGCCCCTCAGCCACCCTGTGGGATCAGCTCTCCCTGTATTGTTCCCGATGGATTTTTCTGAGCCTGGGTTAGGTAAACAGTGATGGTAATTCCATGCCATTCCCAGCAGCCTCTTGGGAATCACCTGTATCTCACTTTTGAGCAGATCCTTCACTATCACCCAGCAACAAAAAGCTCTCCCCCCCTTCCCCTGGAGGAGGACAGGAGTCCCTGCAGACAGCAGAGCAGTGGTAACTGCAGAGCTTTATTGTCCCGTTCGTTTGCATTTACAGCAGGACCCGTGATACTGCTGTTGGCACAGAGGTCTTCACAAAGGCCAAGCAGCTTTGGGTGTTTTCCCCGTACACGTGAAAATATTTACAGAGCCTTTGCAGTGAATCAAAGCATTAAGGCTTTCTACATCTTCCAAGCAGCCCTCCGGCCCGAGCGTGAGCCCTGGCGAGCCCGAGTACCAGCTCTTTCAAAGCTGTCCAAGCAGCTGGCTTCCCTAACCCCAGCAGGACTGGTTTTGCATCACTTTCCAAGGCGATAGCTACTTCTTACGCGACTCGTGGACCCACCAGAGTCTGTTCGTGCAGTCTGAGAGGTCAGAAAGGAGCTTTAGGCAACGCGGTCTGGAGAAATCAGGCCCTGCTGTCTGCTACCACAAGGAACAGAGATTCACAGTCTCGGGCGCATCATCTTCAAGGGTTTCTGTGAACCCATCTCCAAATCCCTCTGCTTCCACCAGCTCAGGCTTCTTGTTGCACATGGGGCAGAGCTGGTTGCGGATGGCAGATGATCTCATCCAAATAATGAGGTTCCAGCGTTCCCCGGAGGCAATGGGAAGCGCCCCGTGGATCTGCCCTCCTCGGTGTAACACCCCCTGGGCTCCCACATGTTCAATCTCTATGTACTTTGGGACGGGGGTAGGATCCTGGAACAAAGGGAGGCGGATACAGCATTACACCAGAAAGTCCCTAGCAGAACAATGCTCAAACAGTTGAAACTTTTCCTTGTCAATTCCTCACCCACGGCACCCAGTGAGCAACATGGAGAGGACGCGCTGCACCTCTGAAATGCAGCTACTTCAGTGGTGGCTTGGCAACAGTTTAGTACAACTGTTTTCCAGTAAGACATTCCCAGTGCCAGGTCCAGAGAGAATTTAAAGACAGAGCTTCAATCAAAAAAAAAAAAAAAACCTGTTTCACCAGGGTATGGGAGCTTTTACCCTTCTCTTGCCAGGAGTCCCCTGGAAATAGGGGCTACAGATTTAGGTTTAAGTCTCATCTGAAATAATTTTCTTCTCTCTCTCTCTCTGCACCTCCCTGCTCACTATTTTGGTTGTGGAAAGATGGGCCAGTTTGTTTCACGCCAGTTTCTACTCCGACAGCTGTTTCTGTCCTCCCTTTGAAGCTTGAATATTGGTAATGTGCTTATAGCAGAAAAGGCTCCTGTATAACCAAGACATTTAAAAAAATGGGGACGGGACAGAGCAGGTTTGACTGTCAGAAGTGAATAATTGTTTTTTAGAACACAGTTAATGCCTTGAAACTGGAGGGGTGAGGGAGTAGAGGGGAATAGAATCGGGGCCCAGATTAGGAATATGCTCAGTACCTGGCTGAAATCCCCGAAGTACAAGTTGCCTTCTGTGAAGTCTTTTCCCAGTGAAACGTTTAAGGTGACTTCTGCATTGTCATAGTGAGAGCTCAAATCCAGATCTTCATGTAGCGAGTACTTGACAACAAATGCTTTATGGCTGTCCAGACAAGCACCTCCCAAGTCGGGATAAAGCAGTGCCGTTACAGGCTGCAGGTATTTTTCACGCAGGGGTGTGATGAAAGTTTCATCCATCCCAAGCTCATTTAGCAAAACCTGTCTCAAAGAGAGGAGATGGGAACAGCTGACCAACTACATCTGCTGCTTCATCATTGCTGCTGCAGAGCTGTCTTGTTCTCTTCCAACCCTGCTGCTTGCTCAGGTAAAGAACTTTAGAGCAAAGGCTCCAGCTACAGGCAAAAGAAGGCAGATTAAGGTGGAAAGTGATGGGGAAAAGACAAAGTAAGATCGAAAGTTAAGTGTTCTTTAAAAATGGACTCCTTGATTTAAATGTGTATTGCTTAAATACAAGGTGCTTTTTGCTCTGAGATACCAACTCCCATCCCCTTTCCTTGCATTCCCCTGTCCTTTTGTCTGTGTAACACACATTCCCTCAACCCTTTCACTTCAGAGGGGCTGTACTCAAACTGCTCTGTGCTCAAATGACAGGCATTTTGGAAGGGAAAGGAGTGTAAAGCGAGGAGGTAAATGGAGTCTGCTTGTGAACACTGCCTCTAAAGAAGCACAAGAGCTAGTGACTCCTACCCCATAGTTATTCATCGTGTTGGGCCTGCCTTTAGGCATGTCCGACTGTTCAAAGTTCTCCAGCTCATCCACAAAGGCTTGGCAGAATTCCTCTGTGAACACTGGGAGTCGATAGATCCTCTTATCTGTCAAGAGAAGGGAGACACTGTTTGCTGGGGAAAAGAACAGGCGAGAGCGTTCCTGACTGTCGTGCTGTCTAGCTATACTGTGCTGGTGTCAGTCAGAACGCAGGACCCACATGCTTCACTTTGTGCTCAGGCTGCTCAAAGGGCTGGAACCATTCCCCAGGATCAGCTCTGGGATGTATTTGTTGTTTTTCATGTTGGCCCCTTGTTTCCAGGCTTCCCCATCCAGTTGGCAGATGCAGCACTGATTTGAATGCCTGCTGTAGGTGCCAAGGAAATGTCTTGAGAGGGTCTAGAGAGAGGGTAGTGAATCAACAGCTCATCACAGGCAGTCTGAATACAGCCTCCTGGAAGGAGAGTCAAGGCCATTTACGGGATGGGGGATTCACTCATCCAGTGCAAACCTCCTGGGAAGACCAGGCCTTCTGAGCTGCTTTCAGGGTAGAGCCCTAAAGGTCTGCGTAAGGTGAGCTCAGTATCGAGGATACAGAAGCTGAGATAAAGACAGTGTGAAAAGGCTGTGTGTCTGGAAATCGTGCCTTGATGTCGTGTCTGGAAATCCAGGAGCCCTGCACATACACATTTGTGTCTTTTTTGTCTTGAGAAAAGGAGGCAACTTTGCAGCTTCCCTTCTTAATTTTGTCAGCATTTCTGGTAGGGAGAGAGCTTCACGGATGCCTCCAGGGGAGCTTAAAACCCAGATCTCTTTTTAAAAGACTGAAATCTAGACTGAAACTATTTCAGCTCAGACTAACCAACAGGGATTGTCTGAAATGGTAAAGCACTTGGGGAGGGAAAACCAAGCTCCCTGGACTAACAGTGTTCCTTCAGCAGGCTCCCCCATGAGGCTGCGGTACAAGCAAAGCCCCAGCCCTGCTGCAGCTAGAGCCTCTGATGAGACATCAGCAGACTGGGACTGGAAAAGCGAAAAACAGGATCTCATCCAGCACAAAACTCCTGCACAATACTGCCTCTCCAGAGACTCTCGTCAAGCAGAAAATGACATCCTGTTTGTCTCAGCTGTGTATCAAATCTGAGCTATTAAAGACAGGGCTTGAAAACAGCTGTCATCACTGAAGTTCGAGGACATGGTATAGTGATGGACTTGGCAGTGATAGGTTAACGGTTGGACTTGATGATCTTAAGGGTCTTTTCCAACCTTAACGATTCTATGGTTCTATGAAGTTGCAGTGTCACATGGCAGAACTTTGTGGCTGATATGTTGTTTTCTTTACCTGAGAAGGACTCGATGTAGCGCAGGAGGCCATGGAGATGAGCATCCGGCGATGTGCAGTATCTCACAATTTCTAGAAAATCTGGGGCCAGGAATGAATCCTGGCATCAAGGGAAGGATGATAAAAATACACAGAAACACAATTAGTCTGTGTGGTCTTTTACAGCTCAAGAGGGAAACGGACTTCCAGGCAGCCACAGGAAAATACGTGGAGTCTAGGGAGCAAGGCTGATAGTCACACTTGGGTTACTTCTGTGGCAGGAAATGCAGAATGTTACTGCTGTTTTTCTTGGTGGTTTAGGTAAGTTGCTGCTTGCTCTAGTTTGTGCATTTCTAAGTATAACTAGCCAGATTTATCCTTAGCGTGATAGGGAAGAGCCTGGCTTGCATTATGGGCTCCTAACAGGTAAGTGCAAAGTCTTTCCTAGCATATTTGGCATCTTGTTATGGCCTCAGCACAACAGCATGACTACGCTCTGCTGTAAGCACTTCCCCACACAGATCATGACAGACAACGGCAGAACCGACAATGGCAGAACTTGTTACTAAAAGATCGTGGAGCAGTAAATCTGTGCAAACTCGTTTGTGTGTTACTGCTGATCTGTGGTAATTATCCAGCTGGGAAGTCTTGGGTCTGGCAAACACGAGGAAATTCAAAGCAGAGTAGTCCACAACAACGGGGGCTACCCTGCATTTGGGGTGGGGTGTATACATGCAAGCAGCCTGCTGTCCCCCTTCAGACGATAGTCCCTGGTAACTTGTCTGTGCATTAAGCCCATAAATGCTGATTTCTGTGGCTGTTCGTTAGACCTCACCGGCCCTGTTTTCTGCAATGATGCTTTAGGTCTAAATTACTAATGGTATTCTGAGTCCAGTACCAGGTGCTGGTGCAGCTTCAATATAGAATGACCCTTATGTGGCTCTAAGCCAGGTGGAATTTTGCCTAGAGAATATGCTATGCTGTGAAAGTTTTTAATTCAGTTTTAACATGCTACGCTTTGGTTTTAATTCAGTCCAGCTCTAGCACTGTGGGCAATCCCGAGAAGGGGGCTTCCTACTGCAAAAATAAACTGTCAGGCAGTTCCTTGGGTGCAACATAGATCCCAAACATACTGTCTACCTGCAGAATGTACACTTCTGGGTGTTTTCGTCTGTAGCACTTTGAGATGATGGCTTTGCGTTCCACTGACTGATGAATTAACTGTTTTCTTCTCTGCACTTCTGCCTCAATCTACAAGTAAACAACAGAGTGTATTGTTAGAAAATCGAAAGGGATAACTAAAACAATTCCAGGAATTTGCTCATTGTTTTAAACCAGTTATTTTTGTTCTGGGCACCTCTGGGAGACACAGTGTATGCCTTTGCTTTTCTGTAGTCAAGACAAGTCCAATAAATATCTGGAAAGCCAAATCCCTGAGAGGGATTTGAGACACAGTCTCATTATGGATGGCTTAAAAAATAACTGAAGTCTTTCCATGGACGTGTCAAGTGGAGCTGCAAGGTTTCAGCCCTTTCAGGCATTCTGACACCTCATGAATCGCCGGCCTACGCTTTAAGAGTCTGGCTTATGTTCTGACAATATAAGCATTGTCCAAAATAGACATTTGCTGGGAGGGAGACAGGACTTGTCACGAAGGGATTACTGCTAAGTGTTGTGGGGACAGGCTATTCTGTCATTTCAGAGGAAACAGCTGTAGTAGCAGCTCTTCCTATTTAATAACCCCCCATGAGATTAGTTTATAACATTCCTCAGCAAAAAAGGAAGGAAGGAAGGTGTGACCGGTACCCCATGCCCCCCGACCCCTGGTAATGTGGTTAGCATAACTAACGCCATTTTATAAGGCAAGCAACCATTCTCTGTGATTGAGCGGGTCACGGATTTGTTCCCTTTCCCGCATTATCAGGCCCTGAAGGTCCTGTGAACCAAGTAGACAAACCAAACAGCTTTCTTCTTCCACTCCCTACCAGCCTCAAGGTTCCTGGGTGCGAGGCTGATTCCTCACTGGCCTTGAAGGTCCCAGGCACCCGGCCAGCCCGGTGTTGTTCATGACCCTGTCACAGAACAGGGAAGCATAACAGCACCCGAAGCACTGTCTATAAAACCAAGCAGTTACAAGTCCTAAGTGGGGGACTTGGACTGGAACTGCTGCTGGACAGCGAGAGCCATGACCTCCCGTGGCCAGGGATGCCTCCACCATCATCTGCTTCGTCCGAGGACTGAGTGAGTGGCTCGTGTTCTTTTATATGATTTTTGAGTCTAGATTATGATTGTTATATAGATACAGCAAACCACGTATTAAGATCTGACCCAATCTGCAAAGGGTCCAGGTGATTAGAAACTATAAGCTAAGCTCTAGGTGATTAGAAATTATAAGTTAAATTAGGATCTAGAAATCCTAAGTTAAGTTGTATTATAAATTCTGTATTATGGTGCTCGTTGTGCTACATTGATTCTGCTTGTAGAAATCCTGTGCATTCTAATCATAAATTCTCTGCTATACTAATCATAATAACCTGTTAAGAAAATGAAGCTTTAATTGTAACTATGATTTAGTGCTGGCATCATCCTGCCAAGGATCCCTAAAGGAACCTGTCTGTGCCTTTAGTGCTGGGGTGAAACTGGAGCTGGTTGTGTGACAGATCTCTGTCCCTGGCCTGGAAAGGAAGACAGATCCCTCCCTACAGGAGTGCCCCGGGGGTTGTTCTTGCGATCCGCCCAGGTCCCCGGCAGGGCCCCCGTGAGCTCTGCAGGATCCCCGGGTGATCCCGTCTCAAGGCACCCTTTAAAAGCAATTGACAAAAGAAGGGATGAGGAGACAAACAAGAAGGGTGCTGGGAGCCAGCTGAGTAACAGCGGCCAGGGAGCGGCACGGAAGGCCATTTCCATAGCGTGCTGAATTACAGTATTTACTGCCAGGGTGTTGCCAGTACAGACGCACCCCTGGCAGCCTCCAGCCCCGGACCAAGGCGCCAGCGGGGAATTTTTCCCTTCGGTCTCCGCCCGGCACCGGGTTTGATCAGGACAAGGCGCCGGGGAGCTGGGCCCCGGTTCTGTCAGGGCCAGGGCCTGCGGCTTCAGCGTCTCCCCGGCTCCTTTCAGCGCCCGGGTCGGCCCCCGGGCCACCCGTCTGTGTGGAAACGCCACAGGCGAAGGGGGTCCGCGGAGGGGAGCCGGGCTGCGGGGTCCCCTCCCGCCGCGGGGCGGCCTCCCCG